GGAATTCAATTGACGAAAATCTTAAGGGTCTTTCTAAATCGCAGTTTAAACACAAACTTAAAAATAATATATTGAATTCATATTAGCTTATAGCATCAAAATTGTCCATTTTGAAATCTTTATTGCATGTGTTTTATTTATTCAGTTTACCCACTAAAATATATTTTGTTACTAATCAAATTCGCTGACTGTCTCGATTAGCCTTTTGGTTATTACAGTTAGCTAGTACCTTCTTTTCGTAACTTTATCTTTATTTTATATTTATGTATGTATTACTACCGGTACTGAATAAAATTGTATTATTGTATTGTATTGTATTAATGCCAACCGGTCGTATAGTTTCATAAGCATCCTCAGGTATGAAAAAGTAGTTTCATATTATTCTGACACAACGAAGGACACGTCCTCCCAGACAAGTGTGTCCTCCAAAACGAGCGATAAGTCGTCGGGAAAATATGTTGTGCCGGTGGCCTAGATACCCCGAGATACGAATTCGAATCCCGTTCAAGACAACTAATTTTCCGTTGTTTTCAGCAGTTTCAGAATAATATATGAAACAGGTTGTACATGCAGTAATTTTTTATCAATCGCGTCTCTATAGGTAGTTTGGATGATACAATTGGGACACTGTCAGTCCTCGTGAAAATATTTTTTGCACTTGAAACTCTTAAAAACCCTTTGTGCCTGTCCTCGTGCAAAACATCCGTTGACCTTGATCAAACTCACTTATATTAATGAATAATGACCACTTTAATTAATTTTAATACCAGCCTGTTACTACAGTATCAATCTGTATGGCAAGAAATCAACAACACTGTTATATAGTATAGAGTAGGTATATACAGTTGTGTAATTATTGTAAATTTATACTGGATAGCTCTATAGTATTAGTGCTTCTATCTGCCCAGTATGGACAAGCCTTATTGTTACAGCATAACGACACTACCAAACTAAGTTTGTTTATTCTGGATGTTAGTCCGTTTATTCTAGAGATAATTTGATAAACACCTCAGTTTCAAATTAATTCAAGTTTTCTTATTATTTGTAAATATGTAAATATTCTTATTTTCTATATTCGGCTCTTTTAAAAGAATGGCAATTTTGTAAATTGATTAAGACACCGAATTCAAATAAATTTTGAAGAAGAAGAAGAAGCTCTATCATTAATTCTTGGACAATGACTATATAGTTAGACTATATTGATTATAAGAATGATTGACTTAATGAGTAAATAACATATATTTATTATTGGAATCACAGAACTACACTGTTCAAAAGAATCAAAGTGACAGAAGAGTCAACCATGATTAATGAGAGCGGCCATTCAAGTAGCCTTTCTCACGCTCCTTTATATCCGCCATTTTGGGGGGTACTTGCCTCTACCAAGTCTGAGATGTTTATTCTATAATCTATACACCGTCACTACTGCGGTATAGGTAATAAGCTGCTGTGGTTTGTGTCTGAACTACTTGCGAGATATTTATATTAACACTTATGAACGTTTGTCAGCAGCCTGTAAAGTGTCACGAGTGCCATGCTGATTTCCATTCAGTGCAAAATGTTGCGCGATCGACCTTTTGACTTTTTACAAACTGCAGTCAAGCGGAACTAATCTCATCTGTAGTTGACTGCACATATTTCAAAAGAAAGCGATCGCACAAAGTCGATCGTGCTGCATTTTGCACTGAATGGAAATTCGCCTTAAAGCTTGGTTTCCATACGGTCGTAAAGATTTAGTCACGATCTTTCTCATCAACCGAAATACAACATTTTAGAAGTGAAAATACGCGGAGTGATTATAACTAGAGAATACTTATGATTTATATGTGGTTTACAAGTATAAACTATGATATTTGCTGTGTTGGTGTAATGTACTCAGGTGAATAAGATGCTTGTGTGATGTTACTCTGAGTGTATATCCACACCGGGCAGGCCTGAAAAATATGCCTGGCCACGGTGGGATTCGAACCTACGACCTTTGGAATACCAGCCCAATGCTCTGCCAACTGAGCTACGCGGTCAAGTCGGTTCGAGTATGCGATATTTCGGTCTAGTTCCTTCGATATCAGCGTAATCTAATAATCACGGTGCGATTCGAACTTACGACCTTTGGAAAACTATAAGTATAAACTGTTATAAACTGGCCGTTGAGAAAGATCGCGACCCTATTTTTACGACCATTACGCGGACCATATGGAAACCAGACGTAACCTCCTGAAAGGGTCTTTCTTCGAACCTTTGAGGTCGTCATTTTTTCAGGTAGTTTCAAACCACGGCACACTTTTTAGATCTAATCTTCTTTAGCAACAATTAACTAAATGCTTAGCACAGGGTGTTTAGCAAACAAAGCGACAGGGGACCTTAGACGTACTGTCTTCCCCACCATGTTGCCAATTGCATACAAATGCAACTCCATCTTTGACTTGCAATTGTCGCTAAAACATGGTGTAATCGTTCACAGTGGGGTATTGGTTACAGAGACAGCGAAATGCATACACGAGGTCGGAAATCCGGACTGAACCAGAAAAATCTATAGCTCAGGCATGGTTTAATGTTTGAATAGCTTTTGCCTTAAGCTAAAAAAATTTCTTTACATTTTGCACCCGTTGTGACCATATGATGATATTCCTGCACATGGTCATGGACGCCACTATTTCAAGGCGCAGCTGCTTTGCTTATTCCTTTGCCCGAGGGGCAAAGTTTTTATTTTAGAAATAACTGTCATAATTTTACTCATTGTGATTTTTTCTGTGTTGGTGTAATGTACTCAGGCGAATATGATGCTTGTGATGTTACTCTGAGTGTATATCCACACCGGGCAAGCTTGAAAAATATGCCTGACTACGGTGGGAATCGAACCTACGACCTTTGGAATACTAGCCCCCAATGCTCTGCCAACTGAGCTACGCGGTCTGGTCAGTTCGAGTATGTGAAATTTCGGAACATATTGGTACAGTAACATCTATGACACAGACTAAATTTGACTAATCACTCAGCTTCTGTTTATTGCAGAGAAAATGCACCAAAACAACTTGTTTATATAACATTTATGTCAATCGTGGATAGATCATAATTGTAATTTGTTCCGTGATTGTACATTCATTCGCTTTAGGGCCGTTCGCATTTAGTACACTTGAAATCAATCTAAATCAAACCGATCCGAGGCCGGTTTCTTGGACTTCTTGATGATGTGTCCACATTGGATGAACTAATCGAATTAATTATACTGTTAATAAGCGGGAATACTAGGCTGCTAAGCAAGAAATTCGCTTGGTTGTAAAAGTGTGGACCGATCCGAGACCACCTCTCGAGCTGATCTCGATCGATCTTTCGATCGAACTGGAATCAGTTTCAGCTCGTATTTTTGGTTGTCCACACTTGGCCCGTGGAGCATGGGAGTGTCGAAACATTGGACTTTGGCAGTTTCGCTGAATGTGAGAACATTCATTTATTTAAACCAGAGGCAGTGTATAGACTATAGTGGTGAAAACATGTCTGATATGGTTGTATGAAGTGGCATTGCCATTGGACTGTAGTGTCAAAACTTTGAATTGTCATTGGACTGAAGTGTTAAATATTGGACTCTGAATGTGATTTGTTCGAGGGCATTACATTACATTACATTACATTACTTAAACTAGATAGCTAAGCCTGACAATTGTTTGATGTAATACCTGGTTGCGGCGGACTGAAAATTTTAATATAATTGTTTTGAATATACTCAGCAGGTTGTATACGTTTGCAATTCAATAACTTTCAACTGAGGTTTTCCCAAAATTGCGACATAATGTAACTAATTTAGTAATTAGTTTGAAACATTTTACCATCTTTTATGCTTAAGATGGACAAATCATCCTTCAGTTTAAAGACGAGCTCAACAAGAATTTCCGCATAATGTTCAATAACTTTCGATATTAATTTATTATTTATGGTATAACTGTTTATATACTATCACTGCCAAAGTAGCGAAAACAACGCGTTTGAAAGAGGTTGGAAAATCAGGAAGCCTTTTGTTACGCAAAAAAATGAAAGAAACTGGGCGTGCTCAATCGGAAAGGGAAATAGCCAGGCTGGTGAGTTGATTTTATTCCTTATTTGCAAGTAAAATTTCGCATTTACTTGAAAGTATATGTCTTGCTTGTTGTTGTGTATTGCATCAATTTCATATGATACATTAATACTTGTATAGATAAACTTATAGCTTAATTGTTTTGTGTAATGTGAATACTAGCTAAATTATTATGAAATTATTTTGAACTTAATAATATTTCAATCTATATTTTCGGGGTTTTTCAATTCCAACAAATTAATTGATATTTGTTGCATGTTTACAGTTCTTGCTGTTTACATTTTTATATATAAAATTGTTATAGGCTTTTATTTATAAATATATATATCTATACAAAAGTGTGGAAGAGCCAGTAAAACATATCAGGAATTGTCTGTTTTTTTTTACGTTTTTAGATCTCTGAGATCCTATACAACATTAGACGAACGATCTTACTAACATTATACTGATGTGAATATAGCACTATTTCTGCCAGTGTGTATATAAAGAAATTTAATCTGTGGTTTAAGTTTTCATATCCTTAATTCCCAGATAACCGATGCATTATTATCTTAAGCAAGAAAATGAAGTGAAAATCCCACTACACTTATAGCAAGTGATTTATAAATATTCCTGTATATTACAGAGAAAGCGAAATCAGGCCAAAAGCCCAGTGAAAGAAAATGTTAGAAAATTTGAAGGAAAATCCGAAAGTCCGATCCAAGAAAATGTGAAGAAGTTTGAAGGAAAAGCACAAAGTCCGATGCCAGAAACGTCTCGAACCAAATCGCCAAATGTCAACAACCAGCGCCCGAATACATTATACAGTCCTACCCGAAGTAATTCTCCAGGGCTTTCGTCCCCTCTCCGAAGCAAATCTCCGGGACTTTTGTCTCCTCTACGAAGTAAATCCCCAGGTGTTTCTTCTCCTATACGAAGTAAATCCCCAGGTGTTTCTTCCCCTATACGAAGTAAATCCCCCGGAGTTTCTTCCCCTATACGAAGTAAATCACCTCTTGTTAATACCCCTACCAGAAATGAGTCCCCCACTCTCGGTAGCCCAAGCCGGAATAAGTCCCCGGGGATTGATACCTACAACCGAAGTAAGTCACCGGCAATTGACACCTATACCCGAAGTAAGTCACCAGGGATTAATACCATCAACCGTCCAAAGTCTCCATTAGCACGTAGTCCGTCTCGGAGCAAATCACCGGGGATGGTAAGCCAATCGCCTGCTTCATCTCCCACCAAACCTCCGGCTGTGTCTAAATGGACCAAGCTTAATAACGGCTGGAGCAAGGAAGACCCTGTGATCCCTGAAATGGCCAACAACACCGAAAGCACACCTGATGACGAAAACCTAGGCACAGTCGGTGATACATTTGATATATCTTGGTATTTTGATAACATTGAATATGTCACTGATACGAAAGCCCCGGAGACTAAATTTCAGGCAGTAGAGGATATTTGGCCCGGGGCTGAAAGTCCTGGAAATGTAAAACAGAATGAGCAACGATTCCGAAATTCTCTGAATTATAACATCGCTGCTTGGAATGACGAAGAGTATGAAGATAGACCGAAGAAAGCGGATGATTTTATTCAACGTTTGTGTGACCAGGTGAATAATACAGCATTGGTAATCTTTCTTTAGCCAGAGTTACACTTAGGTTTATCCATAGTAAGTTTCACTAAGCGCCATGTCACGCACCAGATGGCATGATCAATCAATCAATCAATCAATCAATCCAAAATATTTAATCAAGATACCTACGAGCTATATACAGGAGGTAGGTCCTTGCAGGAGGATCGGAAGGTTAACCCTATATAAGAACCCCCTCAACAGTTGTCAGAATGTCGCATTTATTAGGGAATTAAGTACCCTGAATTAGGGAGTTTCTTGTTATGGGCCCCATATATCCTTTCTAAACTGATTAAATGATGCTCCCATTATGCTTTGCACGCTTAGAGCTTAAGGTTTAGAGTTTAAGGTAGTTTCAAAGAACAACCTTTTTTGAATTAGCTGTGAACAAACGCCAAATTTGTCAACTCAATTGCTAACCCTTTGTTCAATAGGTACGAAATCATGTGGAATATCTCTGTGGGTTGAGCTTTATCAACTACAAAGCCGTCTCTTATAAAGTCCGTGTGGCTGGTGCTGAAGGAATATTTTACTATGTCAAGGTTTGTTAAAGAGAATGATATTTTTCAACAAATAGAGGCATTAAAACTGATTAATAAATTCTTGTTTTTTTTTCTTCATATGCAGGTGAACGTCTGGCAGAATTATTGTCTACATTTGAGAATTTTTAGTCGTAAAAATGAGCTCAAAGCCATTCCAGTTTTGCAGGCCATTCTTGAACGAGCTCAGCCGGACAATGGGAACATTGAATATTTTTAAAATCATTTGGAAATAATGCATGCAACTTTGTAGTATTTTCAACCTGAATTTGCATTTTATACCGGATAACTTGTCAAATACAATTGGCCCATTGCAGAATAATTAAGTTAAATTATGTCAAACAATTTGTGACAAGATTGCAAGAATTTTAAAACAATGGAAAGATAATGGAACATTTCGGTCACTGAATCGTGACTGCAAGATCGTATTGTATTTATATTCAAAAGTAAACTACCCAAAATGTTTATTTTCCTACGATTCTTCGTTTATAACTACAGGTTGTGTATCATGATAATTTTAGCATTTTAATAAATTATTTACAATATTAGTTAAGCCAACATGCATAATTATATTGCTATTTAAGTTGTACAGTTCTATACATATATATTTACACTAATGTATACCTAATATAATGAAAATTCATCTTATAAACAAATATCTAGACCAGCTAGTAGTTATTAATATTATATATAATGAAAATTCAATTTAATTAGAAACCTCAAAAATAGTTCAATGGTTTTTGTTTTCCTTGGTTAGACAGCACTGCCTCAAGCGTCATTTCTTCGCCTTTATAACTGTATGGACGGTGGATCCGCAGATGAACGCATTCATTGCTTGATATGCTTGCCTAAAGAATGAAAAATGTTAAAAACGTTTGTGCAAGATATTTTAAAATAAACGAAACACGTCTATATCAATGAACACCATGCTATCAACAGCAAAGTCTTGTAAATTTGATGGTTTTGTGTCTTGCGAGTGACATTGCATGGTTATGCAAGGATTCCAAGGTGGTCGTGCATTGAAAATATATACACTTTCAATTTAATCGCCTTTTGAAGAAAATTGCAATAGCTCGGTGTCCATCTCGCTTGTTCTAGCGTTTTATACTGCACAGCCTGCAAGCAATCTTTCGTGCTAATTAGGCAATCATTACAACCTCGGGCCTGCCACCTTTACATTTAGCCTTTGACCTTAATTTTGTATCCAAAGTTTACGGACTGATCTACCGTGACCGACCAAATAGTCGTAAGTTATATACCATTACATTATGAAGCGTTATTGGGCCATAATTCAAATAGAAATTCAATTGTGCTAACACTCAATGTATGTTTCTTTTATTCGAATAACACAATTTGAATTCGAATAACATAATTTGAAATCGAATAACACAATTTGAAATCAAATGCCAGAACTACTCCTTTTTCAAAAGCCAGAACTCCATTTTCAAATGCTAAAACTCCCTTTTCAAATGCCAAAACTAAGTTTTCAAATGCCACAACTACCTTTTCAAAAGCCAGAACTCCGTTTTCAAATGTCAAAACTCTGTTTTCAAATGCCAAAACCCTGTATTCAAATGCCAAAACTCTGTTTTCAAATGCCACAACTCCCTTTTCAGATTTTCCTTTTTCGAATTCAAATTGTGTCATTCGAATAAAAGAAACATATATTGAGTGTTAGCACAGTAGAATTTCTGTTTGAATTATGACCCTAATAACGCTTCATATTACATAAGGATCTTGGAAGTTATGAAAACCAATCCTTATGAGTTATGTTATTTGATTTAAAGCCCCTTTGAAATGTAAAGCCCCATTGGAATTTTCTTTTTGACAATTCTATAAATCATGAAGTCTCGTGCATTTATTTAAATTTATTTAAATTTTTCTACCTTTATATAAAAGTGTATTCCAGAGTGAACGACTTGCACCGCAAATGATTCTGCCTGCAGGTTTTCAATAGGCCTTTTGATCCGCCTTGCTACCTCTTCTTTTAACTAGGAAAAACGAGCTAAAGTTAACTTGAATCTATAGTTTTATATTGTAGTATATAGTATTTGACTTTCATATTTTGAACATAACTGGTGATATGCGGATACTTAATGAGCAACTTGATTTGTGAAATGATTTCTTTAGCCTAAGGCGGACAGAACATTGTTACGGAAACATAGTTTCTTGGTCTTGCTTTCCGTGAGGTGGAGAAACCAGGAAACATGTTTTCTAGCTATGTATTTCCTGAGGATGGACAAACCAGGAAACATCGTCTGTAGCCATGTTTCCCGAAGATCGACAAACCAGAAAACATTGTTTTCTAGTCATGTTTCCTGAAGGTGGACAAATCGGGGAACATTGTTTCCTAGTCATGTTTCCTGAAGGTGGACAAACCAGGAAATATTGTTCCTAGCCATGTTTCTTGAAGGTGGACAAACCAGAAAACATTGTTTCTTGCTCATGCTTTCCATGAGGTGGACAAACCAGGAAACATGTTTTCTAGATATGTATTTCCTGAGGATGGACAAACCAGGAAACATTGTCCTCTGTAGCCATGTTTCCCGAAGGTAGACAAACCAGGAAACATTGTTCCTACGACAAAAATGAAGAAGAAAAGAAACATCGATTTTCTCGATGTTCTTGTTACAATGTTTCCCACTGTGCTCAATCCACGGACTCGTGCGTATAATAAAAGCATCAATTCTAGAACTTCAAATCCAATTTAATGTACTTACTTCATCGCACATTTCCTGTACCTCATCATCAGCTTCATGGATTGACGGTTTTTCCACATTTTTTCCTGATGTTAATTCTATATTACGATACACTATATACCAAACTACTGGCTGGCCGTTCCACTCAATATCACTGTATTTTACAGGCATCTTGTTGTAAACCTTAACGAATTAAACACCAGATGAAAAACGATGAAACCAGAACTCTGTATATAGATAATTCTGCAAGGCTGTAGCATACAAACACAGAGTGTCCGTGCGCAGGATGGTATACAAGGCTATGTGCAAACATTATTATTGATCAAATTTCCCCTCGTGGCTTCCTTGTTGTCATGGCAGCAAAAATAATATTGTTATTAAGAAGAGTATTTACATAATTTGTCATGTATATACCACCTGTTGTGGTTAAAAACCGCCTCCATAATTAGCTCCGTGGTTGCCTTTGTTCGCCTGTATTTAAAAACACGGGGAAGAGTGTGGTCGGACACCTCTCAAAATATTGAAGAGGCGAGCTCGAATTTAGGTTGCCAAAATATTAAATTTCCATCCGCCCCTGTTATCTTTTTGAGGCGATTTATCCTCACTTGAGTAGGGGGGGGGGGG